GAGAGAGAGAGAGAGAGAGAGATGCAGAGCGTGTGCAGAGCAGGGCAACGCCAGGAACAGGATTAAAAACTGCTGCTTTAGAACATGGATTTTGAAACTTGTGAATCCATTAGAATCGTTAGAAGACAGAATCGCGATTCATATATGAATAGATTTTTAAGTGCACCTCTAGTTTTCTCTTCCTCTTCTCTAAAGCAGTGCAGGCCTCACCCCCTTTGCTGCCTTTTCCCGAGGGCAGGGTTTATCTGCATCACAAACCCGGGAAGTAACTTGTAGTCCCTATACCAGCCGTTTTTGTAGATATTAAACTGCCAGAATTTGAAAAGACCGAACTTTCAGTTTCGTAACTTTGCAGATATTGTTTATGCTCAAACAGCAACATTACACACTAACTAACGTTAAAAAAGTGAAATCGCAATGAACCACCCCTTTAATATATTTTAAAATGTAATTTATTCCTGTAATGATGAACCTGAATTTTTCATTACTCCAGTCTTCAGTGTCACATGACCCTTCAGAAATCATTCTAATATGCTGATTTGTATGCATTTCTGATTATCAGTGTTGAAAAAAGTTGAGCTGCTTAATATTTTTGTGTATATTCACTTTTTCAGTATTTTATGATGAATAGACACTTCAAAATATATATATTTTTTATTTAAAAGCATTTATTTGAAATATAATTCCTTGCTGTGTCCAAAAAAAAAACTCTGTATTTGATTAGAATAAAAACACCATGTCTAACATATAATTATATCAACCCTGTAAACACAAGTTCTAAAGCTGAGATGAATTAGTTGGTTTCTTGGTTAGTTTGAAAGTCTTGAAATACAAGAAGTGCAAATTTATGTATAACTCATAAGTAAAACCATCAGTATGTAAATTGTTCCATTACATTGATTTGAAAAGTACAAATGGCTTTATGAAAGATTTACACAGATTTATTTTTCGGACCCATAAATAAAAATGGGTCTTTTACATGTTTTGGAAATTCTTTCAGTGATTAAAATGCTGTCGTTGTGAAGTGGTACAGAGAATATGGCTGGCAGCAGAAGGCTGGGATCATAAGAGAATGAAAGCGTTTGAGCTAAGAGAGTTTGTATGGGGGAGTCGTGTGACAGCATGACATTTTCTCTAGTTGAGATGTGATCGTTGTGCAGTGAGTCAGGATATTGGTGTTGCCATGGATCTTACAGTTCCCTCTGGATTCTCCCTCCAGTGTTGAGTATTCACAAGCGGCCTGTCGCAGGAAATGCAGATATCACTTTCCCCATGAAGGGGTGGAGGGGGATGGTGGACTGGGCTCGCAACTCTGAGGACAAAGTCAGAGTGGCTAAAGACATCCTGGTCACCAGGTAAGAAGGTAAGAAACAAAGTCTCACACAACTATACACATTTGCGTGTAAGCACTAATAGTAGTACACATGCTGCAGCCTTGGTGCCTTGGTGCTCATGAGAAGCACAGGTTTGAATCTGGCTTGCATTGTATGTTCATCTAAGACACTTTGAAATTCATTTTATTTTTTTCAAAATTCCATTTATTATTATTTTTAATAATAGTTTTTTTTCCAGATTCTATTTTTTAAATCCTTTTAAAGTCTAATCCTTTAAAATGTAATCAATAGAAAATCAAATTTAGCAATTAATTCACAGTAAAATATTCTAAAACATTTTTTTGTGTTGCACATCTGTAATGAATCGGTCCACTGAAGGTGAGCGTAGTGAAGAACCCATGTGCAGTTTATTTACAGACGTGATCCAAAATACAAACAAACCAAGACAAAAACTTGATGAGGCATGAACAGACTTGACGAGGCACAAACAGACTAGACTCACCGACAGCGGGTTACAACTTCAATACACGACGAGAGACAATGGCAACATGATGGCTACTTATAGCAAACAATACAGGTCACAATGACAAGAACAAACCAATGGGAAGCAAGACACATGACTAGGACTACCAATCAGAAAATGACACACACAAGGCAGAGATACATGAGGGCAAGGGAAGCATGACACTGACAGCATGAAACAATTACAAAATAAAAAGACATGGAAAACATGAACATGAAACAAACCCAAACCCCACATTACATATCCCCCCTCTAAGGGTGGCTCCAGACGCCCAAACAAACACAAATAAAACCCAACAAGTCCAGGAGGGTGGTGGAGTGGAGGCGGAACGGAGAGCAAGGCCCATGAAGCGGAACAGGCAGAGCAGGGAGCCATGGCGGAGCAGGCAGACTGGGGAGCAATGGCGGGGCAGGGAGGGCGGGGGGCCATGGGGGGGGTGGCTCCAGACGCCCAAACAAACACAAATAAAACCCAACAAGTCCAGGAGGGTGGTGGAGTGGAGGCGGAACGGAGAGCAAGGCCCATGAAGCGGAACAGGCAGAGCAGGGAGCCATGGCGGAGCAGGCAGACTGGGGAGCAATGGCGGAGCAGGCAGAGCGGGGGGCCATGGCGGAGCAGGCAGAGCGGGGGGCCATGGCGGTGCAGGCAGAGCGGGGGGCCATGGCGGTGCAGGCAGAGCGGGCGGCCATGGCGGTGCAGGCAGAGCAGGGCGGCCGGGTGATGACGGCAGAGCAGGAAGCCATGGTGGAGCAGAGACATGGACAGACCACTTGACTGTAACGGAGCAAGCAGATAGTTCTTGAATGGCCTCCTTGGCCATGGCAGGACAGACAGTGAGTTCGTGAACGGCCTGTGACGTGAGCAGGCTTTGGTTTGGCAGGCATGAAGTGAGCGGACCCTGGCTTGGCAGACGTGACATGAACAGACTGGCTTGACAGACGTGACGTGAGCAGACTGTGGCTCTGGTTTAGTGCTGTGTACCTTCTCCACGACACCCACAGTGAAAGCAGATCCCCTCAACCGCAGAGCAAAGTCTATATACTCGGCAAAGGACCAGTGAACCTTTCCCCCAGGAAGCTGGGAGCAAATGGGCTTGTTTAATCCATGACGGATTTGAGCGCCACATCATTAAAATCCACATGGTTAGAAAGTTCAAGAAACTCAACAACATAGTCCTCAATAGCCTGATCACCTTGACGAAGGCGGAGGAGACGAACAATTGCTGAGTTCTTGTGCCCTTGTCGTGTATTCTGTAATGAATCAGTCCACTGAAGGCGAGCGTAGTGAAGAACCCATGTGCAGTTTATTTACAGACGTAATCCAAAATACAAATATAAACCGAGACACAGACTTGACGAGGCACAAACAGACTAGACTCACCGACAGTGGGTTACAACTTCAATACACGACGAGAGACAATGGCAACATGATGGCTACTTATAGCAAACAATACAGGTCACATGACAAGAACAAACCAATGGGAAACAAGACAAATGACTAGGACTACCAATCAGAACATGACACATACACAAGGCAGAGATACATGAGGGCAAGGGAAGCATGACACTGACACACTGACAGCATGAAACAATTACAAAATAAAAGACATGGAAAACATGAACATGAAACAAAACCCAAACACCAAACCCCACATTACAACATCAGAACTTTACTGCATAAATTAAAACGTGTATAATGTAAATATCTCTTGATTACGATATTCCTTAAAAATAATAATACTAATCTAAAATGAATGTTCTTTTTCTTATTCTTTTTATTCTTACTTTGAGAAGTTATATGTTTCTATCATTATTTCATGAAGTGAACCAGACTTTATTTTGGCTGATTGTCATGAAGATTTTCTGTGTATTTTACATGCCAATAGTTTTTATAATTTTTACAAATGAAATGCCCGTTCATTCACTTAGAAACATGCAGAGTGAGCAGTTTTGTGGTTTAATAATTCCTAATGTTCATATCACAGTTAGAATTTGATTCATTTTATATCCTTACTTTTGATTTATTATTTCAAAATTTCCAAATTCTGTGACCTTCCGCACTAAATTCCACAGTAAATTCCATTCTTATGCCTGGATTCTTGCCTATAGGCTACTCATTCCATTACCTTTGTTTCTCTCTGAGTAATTTAATGTCTCTTTGCTGTTTTTTCTAGCAAAAAGAGTATCTGTGTTCATAACAAATATTTGTTTGTTTGATGGATTTTATCTCCTTCGCTAGAGAGCAGATTGCTGTAGGCTGTTCACTGTTCATGTCCGACAATACAGGCCATTTAAGAGGCTCCTACCCCCGCAACTATGCTAATAGAAGAGCTGCTACATAATCAGGAGTCGCCAGGAGCCAATCAGGCGCAATTAGGTTTAATTCCTTTTCCCATTGGGAGATCTGTTGCCATGCCACCAGCGCTGGATTGACAGGTCGTCAAGCTTTGGACACACTGAGATGAGTTTTTATATTAAAGAAGCTTTAGAATGAGATGAGTGAGAGAGGAATTTGACAGACTGAATCCAATGAAACACATTCTCAGAGAACGAAACACTTCTGGAACTTCCTGTAAAAATGACAGACCTCTCTCCAGGGACGTATGCAGGATTTCATTCAGTCCACGTTAACACCCCACCCCTACAAGCTCACATTCACATTCAAGCCTCCACTTTTGAGTGAAACACCTACATCTCAACATCCAGTCATCAGCCGATCCATAGAACTACGCCCTACATTTTTTCTTTATCAATAATCCTTTACACTCGGTTGTGTCACAAAACAGAAGAAAATATCTATTAATATGTCCATCTCATCACGACTTTAAATTGATATAACTTAAAAAGGTTACTTAAGTTAATTTAAATGAGTAACTGTCATTGCTATGGGTAATTGTTGTTCATGTCATGTTAAATAAAAAATGATTAAAATAAAAAATGGTAAATAAAAAAAAGTGTAAATTTTAAAACATTAAGTAAAAAACATGAAATTAACATGCACTGTAAAAAATTATTTTTTTGGAAGTTAATAAAGCAGGTTATTGGAGTAAGTTTTACTAGAAAATACTGTTTCAGTCTTTCTTTTTCAAAAGTTCACATTTAATTCAACGCGTTACTTGCTTTATCTTTGTAATTGTTTACTATTTACTAGAAATTTATGAGGACATTTTTTTTTCTAAATCCTACACCATTTTTTTCAGTGCACTGTAAAAACGGAATTGTTAAGAAAATTTAAGCTTGATATATTTATATTTAAGGTACTCTTGTCTGTTGGTCTTATAGTTTCTATACAGGACATTTAATATATATATAAATTTAATATAATATAATTTTTTTTTAAGTTGCTTTGTTTACAGTGTATGGACTTAATATTAACAAACAAAAAATTTGTTTATTTTAATGTTACAAACTTTTTTTTTTAACAATATCCATCCTCTAGTACCTTGTGTTGTCCATAAATGTCCTCTTGAGTCTCATCTGTTCACATTATCATGGCTGTGGCATATTAGTAAGGGTGGGCAAATAGAAACCCGATTACCCTGAGGGAGCTCGAAACTGTCACACCCCCAGCCCTGGCCCCCCTCCATCAGTCTATGTTCTTGCCCATGGGACCTCAGCTGCAGCCCTGGAGCTGTGGCCTCTGCCCACCGCCTGGCACCCCCCTACAGACTTTCACTCTTTCTCTCCCTTACAGTGCATGCCAGTCTGCCACATGGTTTGGCCTGATTTAGAGCGATATAGCTAGCGTGTGTGTATTGTTTCAGGAGGTTCTGCTGACAGTGATGCAGTGTGAGTGTGACAGAGGCTGGAGCGCTGCCCTTTCCCCTCACTCCCGCCATTTCAACTGCATTGCTCTCTTCATTAGCACAAGAAATATCACCTTGTCATTTCAAACCAACAAGCCAATAATGTGTATCCGTGTATACTTGTGTGAGCGATATCTGCAAGTTTAGTTATGTCACACACGACCATGATTTGCTTGCTATATATATTTATACATTACTATTCAAAAGTTTGAGTTGGTGGGATTTTTAAATGTTTATGAAAGAAGTCTCTTATATGCTCACCAAAGCTGCATTTATTTGATCACAAATATAGTAAAACAGTCATTTTGCTCATCATTATTACAATTTAAAATAACTCTTTTCTATTTTAATATATTTTAAAATGTAACTTATTCCTGTGATGGCAAAGCTGAATTTTCAGCACCCATTAATCTAGTATTCAGTGTCACATGATCCTTCTGAAATCATTCTAATATGTTGATTTGGTGCTCAAATACTAGTTTCTTATGTTTATCAATGTTGAAAAGAGTTGTACTGCTTAATATTTTTGTGGAAACCATGAAAAACAAATGTCTTTACTACCACTTTAATCAATTTAATGCCTTCTTGTTGAATAAAGGAATTAATTTAATATTTTGTGTAAACCATGATACATTTCTTTCTCCAGGATTCTTTAATGAATAGAACATAACTGTCACTTTTGATCTATTTAATGCATTCTTGCTGAATAAAAGTATTAATTTCTTTTTTTTTTTAAATCATACTGACCTCAAACGTTTGTGCAAGCATATGTTATTTATTATAAGCATTAGTCATGTTGCACAACTCATAGGTGAGAAGCTGCAGGGTAAAAACCTGAGAAACGGGAAGAGAGGCAGCAACCTGCAGTCTCACCTCCAGTTACATTACAGGGCTCTAAATAAAGGTATTGATTACGCATCAATCAAGTCTGTATCTCAGTGACCTCTTCTAGCATTTCTTTTCTCCATCCCTTTGCTTTATGACTCTTTATTTAACAGGAACTGATGTGATACTGTACATCTCTTAAATGCGTGTGTGTTTGTGTTATAGATGAAGATGACACCTCAGCATTTGTAACTGGCATTGTACTGTACAGAAACTTGGGCAGTATTCTCTCTCTACAGAGGTGAGACTTTGCTTTCATTTTGTGTTGAGACTGTGCTTTTCCAGGTGGATTCTCTTTCTATTATTTTTCTTTCTCAGGTTTTAGCATTATTTTAGCTAAAGTAGTGATGCAATCAGGTAGAAGCTATATGTGTATGCCTATTACCTTCATAGGTTTCTGTACCAAGATGGCCACCAAGTGAACTAATAATACTATTACAAGGAAAAGTGTGTATTTTCTTTTATATGTGTGTGTTTGTATGATATTTTTCCCTATTGAGGAGACAACTTTGTGCAAAGTCCCTTTAAAGCAAGAGTTTACCCAAAAATAAAAATAATTTACTGTCATCATTTACTCACTTTCATGTCACTCCAAACCTGTGTGACTTTCTTTCTTCTGCAGAACACAAAAGAGGATGTTTTGAAGATATATTAATGTTGGTAACATTCTTCAAAACGTCCTTTATATGGACAAACAAAACACTAAGACATTTTTTCAAAAAAAATTGTATGATCTATATAAGAAAGAAAGTTGTAAAGGTTTGGAATGACATGACGGTGAGTAAAAGATGACAACATTTAAATTGTTGGCTGAACTGTTCTGTTAAAGGGACTTTGCACACTCTGCAAGAGGAAAAAGAATTACAAGAATAATTTCTCTCATTTGCTGGACTCTGGTTATTTTGAAACCGATATCTGGTGACACAAAAAGTGACAAAAAAGACTGCTGTGTGTGTGGATAGATGAATGTGCATATATGACATGCTCGATGAGCAAATTACATGCACATTTACCAGAGCACAAAGTGAAGTACTACTCTCTGTGTCACATGGGAACATTGCAGCTTCTGAAGGCCATGACCACCTCTCTTCTTCCCCCTTCTGTTTTTTGCAGTCCTCCTCATGTTTTCTCTCATCCCTCTCTGTATTTTCACAGAAATAGCACAGTGCTGAACTCCAAGGTGATCTCTGTGACAATCAAACCCATTCCTAGCTCCCTCTCAACTCCACTAGAGATTGCGTTCTCACACCTATACAATGTAAGTCAGTCTGCCCTTTAAACCCATATGTTGCATCAAACAGAATGTCTTTTTCCAATATTATTCAAACTATGGCTATGTCACTCTGACACTTAATTTTAAAATGCTTTATTAAAAAGCATTCATTCTAATTTTAAAGAATAGAATATAATATATTTAGTTTATTATTTTTAATTGGTGTATTATTACTTTTACTTAATTAATTTATTTTACTTTATTTTAATTACTTTTTGCTGATTTAAAGAATTTAATAGCCTTTTACCAAAATTTCAGTATATTGATTTTCATTTAAGGTTAACATTTTAATTTTTTTTATTAATTTAATTAGAATTTTATTATTATTATTATTATTATTCCATTAATTATTTTTATTAATTTAGTATTTATGTGTACATCTTTTTATTATTATTATTATTATTGTTGTCAGTTTCCTCAGTACTGCTGTCATTACTATCCTGCCTTCTTTTTTTGTTCCCCCAAAAACTTTGTTTTAACTTAATTGACTGTTGGCAAATACAAGACTACAACTCTTTTACAAAATAAATAAATAAAAAGGTTAACATCACTTATCATTACTATCACACACAGGACACATAGCATCAAAAACCACTTGAAAGGCCTACTTAAAAGCTTATGGCTATAATCAGATCTTTATTCCAGGACATGAAAAACAGTTTTTAATGAAAAATGGTGTGAAGCAGTTTAATATTTTAAGATTTCAGGTATCAAAAGTGCACCTAATTGAAGAATTTCTGATATATATTTGCAAGGCAAAATCACAAGGTGACATTCTCTGCCTCTCGCCTTCTTACACTCTCCACAGGGTACCACAAACCAAACCTGCATTTCCTGGGATGAAAATGACAGGTGAGAAGCCGTTTATTGATTTAATTCTGTTTTTGCAGGGAATCTTTAGTCACGCAGTAGGGTGTATTTTCTGAGGCTTACGGAGGGGTGTGCTGATAAAGGGTTAGAGACAACATGCTGTAGTAGGTTAAAACATTGATGGAATCGTGGTGACAGGAGATGTTGAATCCTACACGTAGCTGCCTTGATCTTCACTTGACCCTGCACTTTGACACAGGATGGTTGTTGCATGCCACATTCCTTCTGTATTTTAAACACATCAGCAGCAATTATGGAAAACACACTTCCAATTTAAGCAGAGAAGAGACACACAAAGCAGGATATAATGCAAAGCAGTTAGAAAGAGAAGAGAGGGAAGTGTTTTAGCACATTAACAGAAAGTACTTTGGTGGTTGAAGACATTTTATTTTTCATATTCATGTTGGTTTATATATTCAAGATGCAACTAGTATTGGTAAAAGCCAAATGTGCATGAATAATGCTTTAGAGGGCCACCAGTAGTGTTGGCTCATTTGTAACAAATTTGCATAGCTGCAGAATGTCCAAAAAAATAGTTAGACAAGATATTGGTAGCTAACAATCAGTGTGAATGCTACATGCATCATACTGCCATTTGAAAACTGTTTTAGGATGATATGATACCAACTTGCATTTTTGGATTATTGTCTTGGTAGCACTTTACAAAAAGGCTCAATTTGTTAATCCATTAGAAATCATGAACCAGCAATGAAACACATTTTTGCAGCATTTATTAATCTAGGATAGTGTTCATTTATAAATATAGTATTGCTTGCCATCACGGGAATTTTAAAAATATATATTATTATGTAAAATATATTAAAAAAGAAAACTTATTTTAAATTGTTATAAGGTTTAACAATTATTGTTTTGCTGTATTTTTTAACAAATAAATAAAAAAAAGGAACTTAATGTGCGAAAACTGAAAAATCTTAACAGAACCCAAACTTTTAAATGCTAGTGTATGGTAATTTCTAGAACTTTGCATGTGAAAAGTGTATTAGTATATATAGAAATTAACATGAACATATATTAACCAATTGAACCTTATTGAAAAGTGTTATCATTATTTTTAGTATGTATTTAGTTTGTATTTTCTGATTGTGTTAAAGAAATAGCAGTTACACGTTTCCTTTTTTTTTTTTTATAAAAAAAAAAACATCCTCCTAAGAGCTGCATTCGTATCTCAGGACGTTTTATGCACTATAAAATATAAAGGTTTAAATATATGAGTAAAGGATTGGCACCTGACATTCAAATGGAAATCCATCCTGTCATCTCAATAATCATCTCAGTCATCTAGAATAGATAAATGAATGCTTACCCTTTTATCACAAACTTGATTGGTACGTCTTTACCAGTGGCGAGAAACATAACGTAAATCATGACAGCGTCGCTCTAAGTGCTTCAGCTGTGGAATTTACATCTGAATTATTGTCACATTCAAAATACAAACTGAAGAGTTGAAATAGGAGAATCATTATGTATTACCATGAGAATAAGTTCGGTTTCATTAGCAAACATGAACAGAAATGTATTTCTTCTTTTTCCTCTGCAGAGAGAGCAAGCAAATTGAGACTGCATCTCTGAAGCCAGATTCTATTGAAAGAGACAGACAGACAATCAGACAGATGAGCACCAGAATTGTTGTACTTTAATAAAGAACCGTGGGCCTCCTGGTCATGCTTGTACTTTCACCCCCTACACATCCATCTGCTTGAGCTCTCTTTTGTCTTTTAAAACTGCAAAGACTAGTTTGTGCCCATAGCACTTAATTGCATTTAGATGGATACATATGTTAAAGATATAAAGTTTTCTGCCATTGCCTCGAGGGGGAGCAGACTGATCACAATAGAATTGGGTGGTTATGGTGTTATTATTGGTTATTAGGGCATTGTTTTGCTTCATGTGCACACTTTTAGTGCGTTGCAAGAGGGTTCCGTGTGGTTTCTTGCAGGTCAAAAGTTTAAAAGTTTGGAGTCACTACTTTTTTTTAGATAAATTAATACTTTTATTCAGCAATGATGCATTAAATTGATTTTAAAAAAAGTAACAATAAAGACTTACATTGTTTTTAAAAATCAATTTTAAATAAATAATACTGTTCTTTTGAACTTTCTATTGATAAAAGAATCCCGGAGAGGAAGAAATTATAAAAGTATTAAGCAACAACCATTTTTAACATAATGATAATAAGAAGAGCACCAAATCAGCATATTAAAAACATCCTCCTAAGAGCTGCATTCGTATCTCAGGACGTTTTATGCACTATAAAATATAAAGGTTTAAATATATGAGTAAAGGATTGGCACCTGACATTCAAATGGAAATCCATCCTGTCATCTCAATAATCATCTCAGTCATCTAGAATAGATAAATGAATGCTTACCCTTTTATCACAAACTTGATTGGTACGTCTTTACCAGTGGCGAGAAACATAACGTAAATCATGACAGCGTCGCTCTAAGTGCTTCAGCTGTGGAATTTACATCTGAATTATTGTCACATTCAAAATACAAACTGAAGAGTTGAAATAGGAGAATCATTATGTATTACCATGAGAATAAGTTCGGTTTCATTAGCAAACATGAACAGAAATGTATTTCTTCTTTTTCCTCTGCAGAGAGAGCAAGCAAATTGAGACTGCATCTCTGAAGCCAGATTCTATTGAAAGAGACAGACAGACAATCAGACAGATGAGCACCAGAATTGTTGTACTTTAATAAAGAACCGTGGGCCTCCTGGTCATGCTTGTACTTTCACCCCCTACACATCCATCTGCTTGAGCTCTCTTTTGTCTTTTAAAACTGCAAAGACTAGTTTGTGCCCATAGCACTTAATTGCATTTAGATGGATACATATGTTAAAGATATAAAGTTTTCTGCCATTGCCTCGAGGGGGAGCAGACTGATCACAATAGAATTGGGTGGTTATGGTGTTATTATTGGTTATTAGGGCATTGTTTTGCTTCATGTGCACACTTTTAGTGCGTTGCAAGAGGGTTCCGTGTGGTTTCTTGCAGGTCAAAAGTTTAAAAGTTTGGAGTCACTACTTTTTTTTAGATAAATTAATACTTTTATTCAGCAATGATGCATTAAATTGATTTTAAAAAAAGTAACAATAAAGACTTACATTGTTTTTAAAAATCAATTTTAAATAAATAATACTGTTCTTTTGAACTTTCTATTGATAAAAGAATCCCGGAGAGGAAGAAATTATAAAAGTATTAAGCAACAACCATTTTTAACATAATGATAATAAGAAGAGCACCAAATCAGCATATTAGAAGGATTTCTGAAGGATCATGTGACACTGAAGCCTGGAGTAATGGTTGCTAAATATGCAGCCTTGCATATTAGGAATAAATTACATTTGATAATTTATTTAAATGAAAAAACATTTTTTTAATTGTGATAGTATTTGACCATTTTACTGGTTTTACTGTATTTATGATCAACTAAATGCAGCCTTGGTGAGCATAAGAGACCTCTTTCAAAAACGTGTATACAGTATATAAGACTATGGACAATATTTTTGCATGTTTTAATATTCAGCAGACAAAAAAAACCAAACATTCGTTTGCTTAGAAAAGTAATAATATACCAAGCACCATTTATAACAAAAGACAATAATACAGAGAAATGAGAAAAAAAGGAAAGAGAAGGAAAAGGGTGACACAGAGGAAGGAGTGAGATAAAGGGAGCGTAAGAGAGAGGCTGAGAGACAGGAAGAGGACAGTGAAATGTAATCTACCTGCATTGAGCGAAGGGGAGCCGGGGCTGGTGTGTGTTTGGTGCGAAATTAAAATCCATTTTGGACAGCTGCTATGATTAATGAGTTCATATTTGGGAGAGAAATTGGAATGTGAGGAGGTATCCTTGTCACTGACTGTCTTTTACTTAACAGCTTTAAAGAGTGTGGGCTTTCTGTTGACTCACACTTCAATCACACGCTAGCGATACAAGCCAGTCATTTTTTTCTGCTGGTTCTTACATGATCATTCTTATTCATGCATTTACTGTATTATATATATATATATATAAACATCTGCAGCTGTAGGTTGCCAGAATTTACCATAAAAAATACATGCACGCAAATACAAAACTCTGTCATGGTAACGTATGTAACGTATGTAACCATGGTTCCCCGAGGGAACGAGACGCTGTGTCGAGATTCGCTTTGGGAATGCCCTTGCGTGACCACGTTCTGAAGCACGTGTCAAATCAGTCCAATGGAGCAGCGAGACGTCACGAACGGGGTGACGTAAGCACCAGAAAGCACAAAAGCGCATCCGGCAGAGCGCAAACCATCTTCGATTAAGTAGTGCCTGCAGGGATGCAGGGAGTATGGCAAAGAGATGCAGCGTCTCGTTCTCTCTGGGAACCATGGTTACATACTTAACCTAGAGACGTTCCCCTTCAGGAACTCGATCTGCGTCGAGATTCGCTTTGGGAACGAGAATACCCACTGCGCCATACTACCAAGTCCCTGCCTGTGTGTGTATCTTATGAGCACATCATGAAGAGAGAACTTGGGAACCTGGGGTAGATGCCAGGTCTAGGTTGTAAAAGCGGACAAAAGTATGCGGGGAGACCCGCCCCGCCGCAGCACAAATGTCCTGCAAAGCCACACCCAAGCTGAAAGCCTTGGAGGCCGCCATACTCCTGGTCGAGTGCGCTCTGACCCCCATAGGCGACGGGAGGTCAGAGGACTCGTAAGCTAGTGAGATGGCCTCGACCACCCACCTACTCATAGAATGCTTGGTCGCCGGAGATCCTTTCTTTGACAGACCAAAGCAAACATAAAGCTGATCTGCCTTATGCCACAGGGCAGCGCTGTGTGCGTAAGCGTCCAGTGCTCGAACTGGACAGAGCAGATTAAGCCTTTCTTGGCCTACTTCCTGGAACGGCGGAGGACAGAATGCCTGAAGTACTATGGGCCCTGGTGAAGAAGTGGGCACCTTAGGGACATACCCGTCCCTC